TCGGCGTTCATTTTGATAGTTCGCTTTCGTTCAGCTAGCACGTCAGCCAGATTGATAGTACCACAGTTAGATTGCTGGTAAGGACAACTCGTATAACTCGACATTTTGTGAGCCATGCTTGCTTGCTCCGCTTGTTATGTTCCCTTATGAGGTCTAGATTGAAATTAGGTTCGATAGTCTGGAGTTCTCTTAGTGCACATGATGAAAAACAAATATAGTCTGTTCAAAGGCGCCCAGTACACATAACTTATAAACGACATTTTAGCAGAAGACATTTTACAAATTGTGAACTTCTCCTTGCTAAGTCAGGACTTCAAATTTGATCCACAAGAAGGCTGACAATAATTCTATGATAATGTAGTGATTGCGCAGGCGAGCTGCTGGATGTTAACCATTTTGTTCTTAGCCCGAGACTGAGGCAGGAAAAGAGGAAAGTTTTAAAGTAGAAGAAAAATGAACAGTCGAGGACACGTCTCTACTGTGTCCTCGACTGTTCCTCGTCTCTACGTGTCCTCGACTGTTCATTTTTCTTCTACTTTGAAACCTTCCTCTTTTCCTGCCTTAGTCTCGGGCTAAGAGCAAAAACGTAAATCTAGTATTTTTGCAGAAAGTAAATCATTATGATAAAGGCCCCAAGCTTTTATGCAAAGTTAATTTTAATGTTCCGGCTCGTTTTAATAGGAGTAAATTTACTTTTTAAACTCCGAACAACCTCATGTCGTCGCCTTTATCTAGAATGCACGTATGCGTGAATAATTTTGGAAATGGAAACTTAGATATTTTCAATAATTACGTTGAATTCAAAAAACAATTGCATAATATGCTATGTTAATCTTAGTGATAAATATAAGTTGCTCGAATAGATTTCTGCTCCTCATATAAATTCATGGATGTATATTTTGGCATATGGAATTTGTGTATGATTATTTTCTTAACTTTTATATACCAGTGCCGCATTACAGACTTCTGGTCCCTTATGGGCACAATAAAGACACTGGGTTATGATAATGAGGATAGCGATGATAGTTCAGATTTATTATGACTGATACGACATCATCCTGCATTGACACGACTTAAGCCCACAAATAGTGCGAAACACCAGGTTCGCGTGGGGATCGAGCCATCAGGCTCAACTGGAAACTGCCCAAAACGCCGCAATAGAGAGAAAAACGTAGACGAATACTCAGCCTCCGGATGGGAATTGCGCAGAGATGCGTTCAATAAAATTTCCAAAAGGTTCACGGCAAACATTTTTGATAATATGGTTGGTAATTTTGGAATAGTGACGGAAGATCTGAAAATTAAATGAACTCATGTTTTACTCGGTGTAACAGTGAAGCGTTGAACAAATTGAACGTCACCTAAACCGCCTGAGAATAAAGAGCTTTGTATTCTGCTTCGCCTAAATGCCATGCTCTGCAACCGAGGAACACGTATAGGAAGATAAACAATTTTTCTATAAAGTAATTCAGCCTTCACATCATTTCTTTCTTGAACACATTGAACATTTCCCCCAGTTAGCATCTGCCCCTTTTTAATTTAAAATCTAGTTAAATCAAAATAAAGATCCTTTCAAGAAGGCACTACACATAATCAGCTGCTAAATGAAAAAAAGAACAGAAATCTAAGCATATTAACACTTTTCTCGAAATAAAGCGTACATTCCACGTTTCGCTATTTCTTTTGATAGCCAAGAATGACCTCATGATTCCCCGTTGTGGTATTGGCGCTCATTGTTACATCTGGATATTTGTTACGATATCGATTCGGGTATTTAGATAACTACTTTGACCTCTTAATTTACTAATTATTCAATTGCACTCTAAAAAATGTTTGCGCGTCTGCTTTCACTCACAACACTCGGAGAGCCAATCACCTCAACTTCCGGAGGAAGCTCAGCGAATGACGATGCCGAAACACATGTTTAGAACGAAAAACGCAGTCTGAGTTGTGACATTAAGCAATGCTAAACGTCACGCTTGCATTGCTTAATGTCGCAACTCAGACTGCGTTTTTTGGTCTAAACATATGTTTCGGCATTGTCATTCGCTGAGCTGCATCCGTTAGTTGCGGTGATTGCCTCTCTGAGTGTTGTGCGGGAAAGCAGACTCGCGGGCTTTTTTTCTTTATTTTTTTTTTTATAGTGTAATAAATTTTTTTTCTGTTTTTTTTTTTTTTTTTTTTGAAAGTGGATCCTTGCTCTGAAATGTTAGTGACTATATCCGCAGTGTACAATAAAGAAGGCCGTAAAACATAGTCGTTTTTATGTGTTTTTGCTTGCGGCAGGGACGAAGACAGTAATCGCAAGATATACCTATAACGTATAAAGAGATCCGGTTGGACGATGTGTCGACTAGTGTGAACAGTTACATAAAACACAGCTAAGCAAAAACCACATGAATGAACGCTGAAAATGGTCTGTAGGAAAGAAAGCAAAAATAACGGTTTGTGCAGTCAGTTGTTGCGCGGGGAATGGACTTCTTCCAAAACCGACGCGCCCCATCGCGGCGAAATACCACGCAGTGCACCCTGGGAACTAGTTGGCCACTCCGTTTCGGTTTCGACTGCGCAGCTTCATCTCGTGCTATCACGCCGCGACCGAACGCGCTGCTTGCGTTTTCGATTATCTGACTTTTCACGAACGTACACTCATTCTCGAGCGATACAAAACGAAGACCGGGGCACTTTCCTTGGTTCCCGAAACACAAGATATTGTGCGTGCGTATGCGAACGTTGTAAGTCGTGGCTTAGTCACCTCACGCACGAGTGCATGTTTGAGCTCTATTTCAATAATCCCTTCTAGTACCAGAGAACTAGAACTGAAATTTGTTTATCTGGAGCCTGACACGCATTTTGTTTGCCAAACGTCCGTTTCTTGTTACTCCATTGGGCGAAAAGCAAGCCGCATCCTCACAGGGTATCAAAGTTGAGCCCAGCGTTTACGCATGAACTTTTAAGGAAACGCAATAAATTCGACCTCACTATTGCAGAAAAGTTACTATGATGTCTTCCTAGTGTCATCATATATCTCCCACTCAAATTTTATGCTGATAGAAGATTAAATGTTCGCAAGCGCTGAGATCGGCTAGCTACGACGGAGGCCCTATACAAGCGTCCCCTGCTCCTCGGTAAGCCTTTTTGCGCGAGCTTTTACTGAAGCCCAAGATCTGTGCCTGAACAGTGCGTCTGAAATTATCTCGGCATACTCGGGCAGGAAGAAAACAAACACATAACAAATATTATGGCCATTAGCAACCGCCAAACGCGCTTTCAATTCGTTCGAGCACTTGTGTGAAGAATGTCGCACCGTGCGCCGGACGGGCATGAACCCCTGTGCGGTGCGCATAGGGGTTCATGCCCGTCCGGCGCTCCTCCGGCGAACGGTGCGACATTCTTCACACAAGTGCTCGACTTTTGCTTTCTTAAAACGGTCGGTATGTGCGAATTGGCCTATATAATATCAGGATAACTTTATGCGCATACGCGATTTTGAATATTAGTGGAATGCAAGCGTGTGCGGACTTCGCTTCGTGCAGTGCTGCGGTCAGTACAGATAAGAGATAAGAAGTGTATTAAAATTGAGCTTTTCAATGGCGCCTCCGAGTTTTACCTCGCCTACTCTGGCGTATTAAGAAAACAGTAATTGCAAAAAGTAATATTTCGTCTATGGACGCACGAAGCAAACAAACTTCCTGATCAACAACACTCATGTAATTGCGCGAGCTCGATGTATGCGTACTTATTGGTTGCTACAGCTTGTTGATTCCTACACAAGCAAGATCCCCGAGCTTCGCAGCGTCGAGATTCCCAGCACTGGCTCGTCCACATACCTCGATTGGAACGCTAACAGGGAGGCTCAGTACAGAAATACAACAAGCATGTGTTAAGATAAGCTATACGTCTCAGGCTTGTGCTAAAGCTTCGAGGTCTGGCCATTTAGGTTAATTTAGAGACCACAAATGACGATCTCGGGTCCAGAAAACAATCTCTTGTCGACGTGTCGATCGAAACCGAAACCATGCCACTCTCCTCCCTGGCCAACTAGTTCCCAGAGTGCAACGCGCGCCGTGCTGCATGCAGGGCTTTATGGAAGTAGTCTATTGAGCGCGATTGGTTCCTTCCGAGTTAGCCGAGTTCGCGGACCTGGTACAGACATCGCCGGGCCAGGAACAAGCGACAATAGTCTGCTTTTAAAATCTCGGTAACCATGGTACTACAGTCGGCGGGCCTATTTCGCGACGTTTGCCCACGTTGTGATACACAGCATTCCACAGATCCGCGGACTTGTCCCCGAACACGTTCCTCTGGTCCGCGGAGAAGCTCTTGAGTTTTGCATGTTCCTTTCGTCTGGAACAATGCGGAATTCGAACCGCAGGAAAGGCGACGTCACCGGCTTCGTAGGAACTTGTCCGGGGACAAGTCCGCTTGGGAGTACACCTTAGAGAAGACAAACCGCTATTCATGTTCATGATCTGTGTACACTCCTCCTCGGATACGATTATAATGACGAACTTCACCTCCGGTGGATTCGGAAGTTCATCATTATTAGGTAAGAAATCCAACCGTAGCGCCCCTAAAGGCTGAGTTGATAACTAAACCGATACAAAAACAAAAACAACACGAACTATTCATTTGCGTTTCGGACGCAGCGCTCGGCTCGCGTGTATCCGAACGCTTCGTCAGCACTCCGCTTGGGCTCTAGTTCAATCACGGATACACAAATTTTAAAATCCGAACAATAACGCATCACTTGTGTACAATGTGTGCCCGGGCTCGATCAGAAAGGTGAGGTGATGAGAGCAGTCTACGGGCCTTGTGTTGGCTAAATAGCGAGCTTTCTGGAAAGAAAGCTGCGTAAAGCGACCCAATTTATGAAAGTATGTTAGACAGAGTAACCGTAATGGCTTTTGTCGTTGTTTGTATGTCGAGTCTGGTCTTGAATCTCTCAGGCATATTGAATTGTGGTTCTCGGTAACTTCCTTTTGTTCTCGTTTTGTACCGACCAACAAGCAAGCGCTATGCATCTGCAAGCGTGCTTCGCGGCTCTGTACGGACAACGAAATATGAAACTGCAACCCGGGTTTTCTTCGGCACTTTGCGTATTGTATGCGTCAAGCAGCCTTCGGCTTCATAAACTGCTTGGGGGGTTTACACCTAGTCTCCTAAAGTGCCAACCTTGCAACGAGTTGGCCCGAGTTCCTACGAACTTGACGGTGTGTTGAGCACCAGTCTACAGGACCGAGAGCATCTTCTGCGACACGCCAGCTGCGGTCACCGATTTTCCTCTGTTGGCCAGGCAGCGTGGCCGAGTTTTCTTTTTATTTAAATGTAAAGTTTGCTCTCCTTGCCAATAAGTCAGTTTGTGTACCGAAAATAAGCATAACTAATCAGGGGTGCTCCTTTTTACAACGCGCTTCTAAAGTACGAGCGCGAAAGACGACAAAAGTGGGGAAAATGACCTTGGACGCGTGCATTTCCTGTTTTTGCCGACCACAAAAGGCACATCCATCATCCGTCCCTACGGGTTTTTCTCGATACACAAGTATATAGCCATCGAAGACAATGAAGGGACCCCATCGCCGTTCCGTACACAACGTGAAATTCGTTTACATAATCGCAATGGACGTTTGCCGGACACGTAGAAGTTTCATCCTGTTACCTTGGCACGACTCACGCGCTCGGATCTTTTGCTTTTCCATGCTTCGCAAACCGGTTCCACGAACGCGAGCAACGATCGAGTCGCTGCGTCGATAAAGGAACGGACAGGAGATCGAAGTGGACTTGTTCTCCAACCTCTCCAGTGACGAGAGCTTCACAGCGCCGAAGGTGAGGCTGACTTTTGCACTTCGCTCAACGTCAAGCGGGCATTCGCCTCAAAAACGCCGAAACTCTTACTCGTTTTTCTGGCATGATGGTAAATCGTAGGAGCTATGCATATGTCCGTCTTACATTAACACAGTGTTTTCCACACAGTGGGTTCCGACCAAAAATTGGGTCGCGATATATTGTTTCTAGACCAGCTGATTTACTGCGACTATGTTAGGTGTCAAATAAAATTTGAATGGAAAAAGCGAGACACCGAACCAAGCCATGATTATGAATTTAATGTTTTGAGACCCACTAGGCGTCTTCTTCAGAGGTAACGGTGTTGATAATTGCTGAGGAGCAGGAGTTTCGTTTTTACGTTTTTGCCTTCTTTTATGGTAATGCATCTGGGGGGGGGGGGGGGGGGGGGGGGTTGGTTGTATCGCGAAGACCTTTGACGCTGGCGGGCGGTAGGGCTCTGAGAGACTCTAGTGATCTTTTCTGGTGTAGTCTGAAAGCCGCCTCGGTGGCTCCGAGGCAGAGCGTGGACCTACGAATCCCCAGGTTTCGGGTTCAAGTCCTGAACGAAGTGCCCGCAATCTGCAGAGGCTAGTTGTGTAGAAGTCGCTGTGTAACCGAGATTTCGGTTGGACGTCAAAATATCCCCAGGGGGTCGAAATTAATCCTCAGTGCTCCGCTGGGGCGTGCCAGATTCCCTTCATTGATTTGGCGTGTAAAACCCCAAATTTGCTTTTGGTATAGTTTAAATGTGCCATGATCATGACTCCAAGAAAAGTCTTTGTCGATGGTTTGTTTCGACGCTGAAGATTAGGGTGTTTTTGAAGTGAATGTGGTGGCCCTTTATGTCGCAGTTTTCAGTGACCGCTCTGCACTCCAGATCAAAACCGCAAACGTCGTTTTGGTGATGGCGGATTTTCTCCAAAAAAAGATTTTAGTTTCGCCGATCTGCGAGGCTGGACAATCCACGCTGGTTCGGATAATCCCCAACCAGACAATATTCTGTAAAATGTTCGCGTCAAAATAAAATTTCGGTGTCAGTTCTGTACTATACTATTTATGCGCTTAAATCAAAAAGATTGAGTCATCGCGAAAAGCAGAAAAGGGGGAGGGGTAGGGAAAGGGGGGGGGGGGGTTGCAACCCGCTATTGTATTTTTTAGTAGGTCCCAATGTAGCAGAATTTGTGAAGCACTGCTTCTTTAACGTAGAAGAAAGTACGCCAGCAAGGCCTTAGTTTGCAAAGGCATATCTAGAATCAGTGAGTGAGTATATAAAAGAACGACATTGTGAAGTTATCTGTTAACATGAAACGGAATATAAATAAAACACCAATGCGGTATTTTCGCAAGCTGCACAGAAGTTATGAAGGCGTTTCAGACTACTGAAATGTAATTAAATGGTGTATATTCTGCTCAAGCGCAAAGGCTGCAGTAGGAATTTGTTCCTTGCCCAGTTATTGGTACTTGAGATTTTAGACAATCTCTTACCTGGAATCAGTTTGCCCAGTGATCTGAAGCAAACATTAAGACTTTTTTTTTCGAGCCCCAGAGTTTTTTCATTTGAATCTTAACATTTAGAAAGAAACACATTGAAACTTGGAACCCTTTATTAAACGACCATCTGACCGGCTTCTTTCGATGGCTTATGGTTTTTTGTTCTTTGCTTTGGTCTTTCAGTGAAAAATGACAACCTTCAGACATGTCATTCTGTTTTGCGTCGTTGGTTTCGCAAGTTTCCAGGCTGTCTTGTCTGCAACGCCTCTGAAAGAATTTTTTGAGGTAAGAGTTACAAGAACCACAGCCGTTCTATAAACATAATCTTCCACACAAAATATGTGAACTAGACTATAAATATATACCTAGTATGAGACTAGAGAATAATCAACCTATAGGATCAAGAAACACGGTGTAAGTTTGCTGAATAAATATTGTACTGCAAATGATCGCGGTACCTACATCGGGGAATCGCAGCTACCTACGGAAAAAAAAAATATGTTCAACAAAGTATGTTGATTTTGTACATTTGTTAAAGAAAAAGGGAAATTAAAGTAGAGTTTTAGTGAACTTTGCCTGTTTTCAATGCTTGAAGTATTATTTTAATATTATGTTGCTCGACTTGGTGTTTTAATGGTGCGCTATGCAAGTCAATACACTCTGCTAATTGAGGTGTAAAATGAGAAGATATCATTTGTTAAAATATAAAGAAACTAAAAAAATCGTAGCTTTTTTTTCGAAGTTATTTATTAAGAAAGGGCAAAATCAGTATTTTTTTTATTTATAAGCTACTGCCAAGAGGCAAAATTCTTTTCTGACAAGATGTTAACGGCGCCTACTCCCTCTATCGTTTTTAATATTTTTATTTAGTAATCGTATACCACTGAATGACCTTGCCTTTTCAAATTCAAGCATCTTAGTGCATGCCGTGCATCGTATATTTTACTTAAGCCTTTTTTCGGACTTTGCACATTCGCCCTTTACATTGCTCCTCGCCAGCTGTAAGCAAGTTGCCATGACAAAAACAAGAAAATAAAATCGAGAGGATGCAGAATGTACTGAGTAGTCATATATAGTTATAGTAAAACTTGTAATTTATCAAACAATTAGGGGAAATAATAAACTATCCAAAGTTTAAGAATCCTTATAATTCTTTTATTTCACAAATAACAAAAATTTAGATGAAACGCAGTATAAGGCACCGAGATGAAGCAGTTACATTCAAGAGGACAACATGTGGTAGTTGCTGAAAAAACGCAAACACCAACAAACAAAAAATGGATTAGGTATGGCATCAACTAATACGTGAAAATCAGGATAAACATTTATACAAAAAACACATGTACAAGAAGGAAGTAATGAAGATACAAACTGAAACTTCGACATCGTAATTCAAGCATCGTTCATGAATTTAAATATCTTATCTGTCGACACTAGCGGGGGGTTACGAATTCATTCAGTACCGTATGTGGCTTTATCAAAATGCATCGTGTACCTCGCAAGCTGCTTAAGAAAAAAAAAAAAGAACGTCGTACGATGCTTGCTAATCTCGTGGTCGGGGTGAAGGCACCGACGTCAAGGCATGCAATGCGCGGTGCATGCCTCGACGCTGCATGCATTGAGATTTTTTATTTAATGTATCTTTTCATCTATCCGGAATTTCGTTGAAACAAATAACCAACCTATTCATTTTTAATTAAAAGGTAAAATATTGTCAACTGAATGGTCAAATATGTGTTTTTAATCTCCGCCAGCTATGCTCGTGGGTATAAAAAAGACTTGCCGTTAATTAAATAAAAAAGTGTGTTTGTTTTTTTGCACGCGCGCTCCCTTTCATCTTTCAGAAAAATCACAAGAGCCCCATACTGACGTATCAGTGCTACCGCAATGGAACAAGTCTCGAGCCGGAGGAGGCAAGGGACGTCAGAGTGCAATGGGACGGAGTAGGACAGCCAGATGTCAAAGCGGACTGCGTGCTTTCCTACTCCCTCGGAGAGAGCCAAGACAGAAACACGTAAGTGCTAACAAAATTCTTGTGTTCCTATGGTTACATTGGTTAAACCATAGCTCATCTGTGGACACCGACAACTTGAAGAATGCAGAGGGTGACGAGCCGCAAGCATCATATCACTCAGCGTTCAATGAGATCGCTGCACCTGTAGATACGAACGCGAAAGAATGAATCGCAAAATAAAAAGCGTAAACATACTATGCCACATCCTGCAATATTTGAGCGAGTTGTCAGTGGCTACGCGGAGCGCAACTTTGTCTGCTTCTTGCACAGGGGTTGTAGTGGTGTCAGAAGGCCGAGCTCTGATTGGCCCTGATTGGAAGGGTAGCGGGTAGACCTAAATGCTAGCTGCCTTGACGTCGACCCGCTATCCTTCTCATGGGAGCCAATCAGAGATCGGCTTTGCGACGTCACCGCGACCATCGCGTCCCCTCCGCAAGGAGCAGACCAACTTCCGCTCCGCATAGCAACTGTGTTGGAGAAAGGCATCGTGATCATAATCATGGGAACATAAATCACTTTTCTCTCGTTAGGTAATGGCTTGATTGTCACCTTCTTTCGTGTCCTCACAGGACATGAAGATTTCAGACAACGCGTGTGTAAGCATTTACTCGAATGTTTGGCACAGTTTGTGAACAGACTGCGAATGCCCGTATACCTCCATCTCCAGATGTGTACACTGCGGGACTAAAGACGCAGGAAGGGAGCGTACCTTTTGAAAATGTTGTTTTTTCCTGTGCACAGTGGCTAGCGATATAAGTTAAAATGCGCAAATGGCAACCAGGCAGTAGAGACCATGCGTTCTAACAGGCAGCGATTGGAACGGTAAGAACAGCAGTGGAAGTGTTTAAATATATCTACTCGTCCGCCGCGCGTGACATCTCCCCACCCCCGCACGCACGGTAGCCTTGCGACAGCGTGGTTCATACTGCCTCTTCGCCGTTTGAGCATTCTAGACCATAATGCTAGTCACTGTGCGTAGTATTTACGTGGAAAAGGCAGTGCCATAAGCAAAACGTTCGGGGTGATTTCTTCTGTTTTTGAGCTGGGGAACAAATGGCAATTATTATGGCAATGGGGGTGAGCTGATTTGTTGCCAAAGAGGCAAATAAACCGCAAGAAACAAAGACAGATAAAAAAGTACTAAGCAATTCAATGTTTCGTTGAGAGTAAGCGCTGTCATTTTAATTCTTTTTTGTTCTTCCTCGGTTTTTTCCGCGTCGTTTTTCTTTTCTAACCTGAATTGAGCGGTCTTCTGCTCATATTGCCATCAACGGGAAGAAAACTAGCTGATAAAAAATATAATATGTGCTGCGACACATGAATGGTACAGCGACACACTCATATTTTTTTGCAGTTCGCAGTTTTTACCATTCATTTTCTAGGCCCCGGCATTCACTTGGTTCATTTTCTGCTATATGTAACTTGAACGACAATATGCGGAGTTTTACAGAAAACAAAAGTCGTGTGTCGTTATTTATAGAAGCTCCACGAAGCAATCGAAAAGAGACACTACACCTCAATGTCTTTCTTTTTTATTTTTAGATTAGTTAAATTAACTTGCTATTTTTAGTAAAATTGCACGCTTAGTAACTTGATGTCTTGATTGAATGACCTGCCACCACTTTCTGCTATGTTGATAGCACTTCTCGGATCCGTTGTTTTCTTTTTCTTTTTGTTGTTTTTTTCGCGCTATAAGGTATATGTAATAAAAAGAAGTAAGCCTTAAGACAAAAGTTACCAGTATTATAAAGCATACATTGCACGAGTCGACGGATTGTAGTTCTGACTCTTTAACTAACATACATATACAAAATCCACGTCATCTTAAACATTCCAATGAACTCTCGTTTTCCTGGTAGTTGTTCTACGACTTCATATAGCTGAAAGATTTCTTATTTAGACCCGTCAAATTTCTTCTAATATTATCTTTTACGATAGTTTCCATCTGCCTACATGTAATGCAAATTAATAACTATACACGTAAACAGAAGTCAACTATACTTTTTATGTTGCATGAGAGTGTACATGCACTGCGTGTATATACGTAAAAACCAAGCTGTACTTTCCTTCGCTTTATTTCTTGCTTGTTTGTAAAATTTCCTTGAACCATTTATTTTCCTAGGCTATACCTGAGTCTTTTTAGATTAAAGTATTTTTCTTTTCATTCTCCTTTGACTATTTTTTATGTCCTAAATTTTGTTTTTGCGCATTGTTTTTTTTGTTTGTTTGTTTTTTTCTTTTAGACCGTCTTCAATTTATTCTTTCATACAGTGTTTCTCATGAATAAAAAAAAGTATTTTCAACTGCCGTTTTAGAGCATACACTGGTATTAAAAAATAACAAAACAGAAAAATAATACATTGAAAGCGAGTTATTACAGACGAGGAAAAAGTGGCATAGTACTTACATTTCTACGCAGAAAGGAGATTGGAACAATACAAGTTTATGGGCTGTTGGTTAAACGTCACAAAAACAGTTAGCGCGAAAGACAAAATGCATGGAGAAGACTCAACTGGACAAGCTCTCGTCATGTTCAGTCTTCTTCATGTGCTCTGTTTTTCACACTAAATGGTGTAGTGGTGAAAACTATTATAATCTGGGATGATTTATGTAGGCCCTGTAAAAATTAATGCAGAGACACAAACGGACATGGGCACGGAATTCTAAAACAAAATCGGCTTATCACCTCAAATATCGGGCTTATATTTTGTTTGTTTGATTCAGTATGCTTTCTGTTCTTAAGTTGAATTAAAAATAAACTTTTTCGCACTTGTACCTTAGCTATGCTATGCCTCCTTAAGACATCAGTCAAATTATATTTGGTTTACTGTCTTCTTTTAACACTGCAAACCTCTTCCTGCGGTAGTTGTATATGCACGTTTCTTGAGCGTATTCATTCGTTATTAACATTTACCTCAACATTCGGAGCATTATGTATTCCTTTCCTTTATTTTTAGCGCAACTGTTCATGCAGAATACCTTCCAGAAAAAGACAGAGTAGTCCTGACGCTCAAAGGTAAGTGAAAAAAATTTATTTTTTGGAACGAATATTTCCCACGTTGGGGTTGTATCGTACTCATTTAATATATCATTTGTATCGACATCCTTCCAACTAATTTACTAGTCGAAGCAGCGAACAAGTGCGACTTCACCTTGATACAAAAACAGGGCGTACGAAAGCATGATAGACACAAAAATTCCAGCAATTATTAAAAAGGTTGTTTAAAGCCAGTCATATTAACATTAATTGATTAGAATTTCTTTTTAATTACCACTCCTAGTTTTGTGACGACTGGGTAGCAAGGTGTCTTGCTTAAGGATTCTGCATTCTTTATTACGTACGACCGTAAGTACGCTTCAATAGGTGTGGATGGCCCACATAATTTAGGTTAATGGTTTCTGTATATTTTTGTCTTTTGATCAATATTAGCACTGGGTAATTCTAGTGAAGGAAACAAGACTCTGTGTGATTAATAAAACCCTGGAGGCTTAAATGCCTTTCAGACACTAAACTATCATTTACAACGTCGCTGTATAGCAATATAATTAATAGAATTTATATTAATTAAAGAACTTTCAGAAAAAAGGCGTTATTTAATGTAATAATACACGATGAAAACATTTTACTTGCAGTGCAATATTATACATTCGCAAATGAACGAGCACGCTACCTGCGGATTCGGAACATATGCTCAAGTTCCAGATTTATTGTACGCTCTTAAATTAATTTGATTTTATCTTCTATATTTATATATCAGAAATCTGCAGTAAGTATTTCCGTTCATTCCGTAGAGGGAGTTTTGCTCTTCATGAAAAGCAGGCCGTGTGACGACTTTCATCTTCCCACTACCATCCCAAAGTTGTGGAAGAAACAAAAAAAAAAACGCGAGTAACACTACATCCATGTAGCCCTGGCTACAATATCCTAGCTCGGTGCACACGCCCTTCGTCTATTTCGACGGGGGCGTGTAAGGACCACCAAGGGCATGTATTTTTATCGGCAGTCCAGACGCGAAGTAATTTTCGCGCAAGCAAACCAGCGGGACGGACTACGATTATCCAGGTCAGGCCGTCTAGCCAGCTTCGTGCCGTCTTCCGACCTGCACGACATGACCCATTTCGCCTTTTGAGTCCTTGATATATTATTCGTGTGTGTTTTTGTGGCAAATTTCAGTTGTTGCTGTCTTGGAGGAAAACTTTGAGAAAAGAAACCCCTTCATAATGAAAACAATACAAAATTACAACCAGAGTTTCTTTCGTTTAGTAAAATATTAGAAGTACGACGTTAAAGATCAACAAATCTGAAAGTTTCACTTTGAAAACGCGTTTATAAGCCGAACAACTTCCAGGGCTGATTTCGGTTTTATATAAATCCTGAACAGAAAGAATTCCATTCAACATAATTTGCGTCATTCGGGCATTGACAAAACAATTTCGCTGCTGTTTTTTTTTTTTTTTTTTTTTTACTTCTGATATTTAAATGGTAGAGGCTACAGTGAGCAAGCGGAATGTATTTTGCTACTCGTAAGGTTTTGGGACTTCAAACGCTTAGGATTGGCAGTGGATGTTGGCAGATCCTATAGAATTCAATCTGCCTCTCGCTTTCAGTATGCGACCTTTGCCACATTGAAAGAGCGCGGCTGAACGTAATTACACGATTTTAATTTCAGACACGACTGTAGAACTTGCCCTCCTTACATTCCCTCACGACGGAAAAGCACTCTACTTCAAGCAGAGTAAGTATCTGTCATTGCTGATTGCAAAACTTGGTCCGAAGCCAATGTGCGCTAGTCAATAACCTAGATATGTGTCGATGCAGGTCTAACGCCTATAGATGGTATTCACTGGACGCCATATTTGAGGTGACTGCTCGCAGCGCATGCTCGAGATGAATTCTCATTTATGATCTACAAAAAATAGAATCTTAATCGCGTGCAATGCGAGTGTTAGAAGCGTTGTGGTAGCTAGTTGTCAGCACGTACTCAGCAGCAGCGAGCTTAGCTATGACCGCCAGTGTACACCAGCGATATAAATTTGGGACTTGAAAAACTTTTTGCGCGCATTACGCTCGAAGTCAAACTTCGTAATTAACCTTTCCCTTCTAGAATTTGTGTAAGCAAAACTGTTAAGCCTAGTTCAGACATTTCCGTTTGACTGCGTTTGACTGCGTTGCGGCTGCGACAAACCAGGACATCCGTGCTGCTTATATCCCGTGCCAAGATGATTCATTGAATTGAATTCCACACTTCATATGAAGCACAGATGTGCCGGTGACTAGCTTTCGGTTCTCGACGCAACGCAGTTAAACGCAGTCAAACGCAAGTGGCTGAACCGGCCTTAAAGGAGCGGTGCAACAATATTCAATTGGAATGTTTTTCACTTGAAACGAGCTTACTGGCACACCTGGGACTCAAGGATACTCACACGCAACGCCACTGGCCAAGAAACTCCTTTGTTGCGGTGTAATTTCAAGGACAAAAGCAATCATTTTCATTCAATCTCTCCTTTGCAAAATTTGATGACGTAACGTGGGGATCGCAGTACACTCAAGTGACGATATTTGAATGCGGTTCATAGATTGACCCGGGCATTGCGTGGGCACTCGACTTGGGCTCGTGATAATTGCTAGCTCGAGAAGCATTTGGGTAGTGAGTCGTGACCCGTGTCCAATCCCTGCAACGATGACAACAGCCGAGCCATAACAATGTCTGGAACTCAGCGCGTGTCCTGCGCTTTGCCAACCCCAGCGCCTGGCTCTGATCAACACTGGTGGCATATAATCGGCTCCAGATCACGTGGCCACTTGTTCTGGCTGCGAGTTGAGGGGTGAACGCTGCTCGTTTTTCTTTAATGTTTTTCTGGGACTTCTATTGCGTGGAGTGAAAAACGAACGCGTGTTTCATAAGTCATTAACGTTAGGGTTCTGTTTTAAGCGGTATTTGCACAAAGTAAAAACTTGTTGCATCGCTCCTTTACGGAGCGGTGCAACGATATTCAATTGGAATGTTTTTCAATTGAAACGAGCTTACTGGCACACCTGGGACTCAAGGATATTCACACGCAACGCCACTGGCCAAGAAACTCCTTTGTTGCGGTGTAATTTCAAGGACAAAAGCGATCATTTTCATTCAATCTCTCCTTTGCAAAATTTGATGACGTAACGTGGGGATCGCAGTACACCCAAGTGACGATATTTGAATGCGGTTCATAGATTGGGCCCGGGCATTGCGTGGGCACTCGACTTGGGCTCGTGATAATTGCTAGCTCGAGAAGCATTTGGGTAGTGAGTCGTGACCCGTGTCCAATCCCTGCAACGATGACAACAGCCGAGCCATAACAATGTCTGGAACTCAGCGCGTGTCCTGCGCTTTGCCAACCCCAGCGCCTGGCTCTGATCAACACTGGTGGCATATAATCGACTCCAGATCACGTGGCCGCTTGTTCTGGCTGCGAGTTGAGGGGGTGAACGCTGCTCGTTTTAGAGCGCAGCTCTTAGGGGCCCGTTTCCGGCTCGAGCGGCGTCGCCGTCGGCGTCGGCGTCGCCGTCGGCGTCGGCGTCGGCGTAACCGCGCGGTGCATCATGGGAAATGTCCCATAATGCACCGCGCGAGCCCCCCACCGGGGTCACGTGAGCTCGTGGGGGGCACATGACCCCCCGAGGTCACGTGACCCCCCGAAGTCACGTGACTCCCCTGAGGTCACGTGACCCCCTCCTCGAGGTCACGTGACCCCCCGAGGTCACGTGACCCCCGCCGATGATGCGCGGGCACTCGACAGCTCGAGAAGCATTCGGGTAGTGACCCGTGTCCAATCGCTGCAACGACGACAACAGCCGAGCCATAACAATATCTGCAACTCAGCGCGTGTCCTGCGCTTTGCCAACCCCAGCGCGTGGCTCTGATCAACACTGGCGGCATATAATCGGCTCCAGATCACGTGGCCGCTTGTTCTCGCTGCGAGTTGAGGGGGTGAACGCTGCTCGTTTTTCTTTATTTTTTTTCTGGGACTTCTATTGCGTGGGGTGAAAAATGAACGCGTGTTTCTTAGGTCATTAACGTTAGGGATCCGTTTTAAGCGGTATTTGAGCAAAGTACAAAAATTGTTGCATCGCTCCTTTAAGGAATTCACTCGGTGCGATAATTGAGCGCGCTATTCACAACGCATCCGGAAGAGGGAGGGGGGTGGTATGGCTGGCTTGGCAGAGGTCCCAGCATCCTCAGATCACGCTCCTACCTAACGTCTGCAGAGAACGGCGATCTTGGTGGTCTGAAATGCACGTTGCCGGAGCACTGTGGAGCCGAGACTGCAGCCAATGCTATACCACGGCCGCACTGGAAGCGCGCGCTCACTTAGATCGCGCGCTTGCAGTCCGGCCGTGGCTATTGGCGACGTGCGCGACCGAAAGTGTCGCTGTAGTCGGCCGGCCCTGATTAGCCGAGTGTTGACCATGACGTCAGGAAAGGATTTATCATCGACGGAAATAAAATGAATGTAACAGCTTGAATTTTGATGGTGTTGGCAGTGTCGCTTTGATTTCAAGCCTCCACAATGCTCATTGCAAACACAATCGAACTTGTTGTTCGCAGTGTAATGACGTCACGAAAGGGAGCCATGGGAGGGCGCCACCAAAACATCTCGCCGCTAATACATCCTCGAGAAATCGAGGTTGCTGCTTTGAAGCGTTCTTCCGCAGAACGAGTGCTCGCGCTGGAAACGCATGTCTGAAAGCCAGGAGCGCGGGCCAGCTCGCGTTTGTAGCTTTGGCTGCTGTGTCAGCTTATGGGTGACCGGAGTAGTGCCAACGCCGTTAGCGTTCTCCACTACACGCAAGACTAATGGCGAATTCGACAGGTCGTTTTGGAGCGCGCCGGGATCGACTTTTCTGAAGCGAGCATATTTCATTGGGCGATCGGGATCGAGACCGACGTGTTTCACTGGTCGTTTTGGATCAGCTCCCGCTGCAGATCTCGATCTGGATCCGAGAAAAGTCGCTCCGACGATTTCGGGGGATTCAACCGGAAGCCAGCCGGGCCAGCCCTCGGCGTATACACGTGACTTCCTTTCTCGTAGGGCATCTCGCCTGATCTCGCCCATCTCGCCTCAGAAGAAGAAGCACATCGTGGGCTGGGCTCCTAGATTGTCTCGACATCAGAAGAATTCGTAATGGCCGCTTGCTTACCTCTTGGCTTGACAGCCGGTTTGTTTTCCAGGAAGGAGAAGACAAGGTATTTGCTGCGCTACGGGCATTCCGGCAATCTTTGCTAGAAGCGCCTGAGCCATTCCTGCCGCTCGTGCATCGAACACGTATTAGCGCCGCGATTGCGAGAATGTCTTTGAAATGACCGCGGCGGCCGCGGAAAGGGGATTCCCGGGCAGTTGAATGACGGGAAGGCATCCGCCGATCCCGGAGCAGTGGTCATGTTCCACTGGGGATCCGTAGGCGGCGCGACCCCGTTCGGATCGTGTGCTCCAGCCCGGATCTGGTCAACTGATCCCGGCGCGCTCCAAAACGCCCAGTGGAATTCGCCATAACTTCACGAACGAGCCGTAGTGCCGGGAACTGGCGCTGCCTCTTAGGAACTCATGACGTAACGGCATTCCAACGGAGCTTCACAGACCGCCACCAGACGCAATTTCGTGTTCTGTTAATTCGTTTGAAAATTAGTTTTTTCGACTTCTCTGCCTGCAGCCCAGAAACACTACCCTAGGCTAGTGTTTCTGGGCTGCCGGCACAACAGAGGCTACATCTAAACATCTAAACAAAGTTACAAGTGCAAACATTTCGTTTCCGTACCCCTTTTACAGTGAGATGTATATGGCATTCAATTAGGGTATACATTTAGTTCAGTCTATCTGTGAATCTAAGCCTGAAATCAAACATAACGACTCTTATAAAATTGAAATATATTAGCAATATTGCTTAGCAACTAATTAGTCACAAAGATTCGCGCCTTTGCTTTTTGGATAACAGGCTGAGATCAAAGGAAAATATGCAGAGCCTGACGGGTTCGTGGAAATAGACCGATCTTGGTTGTGCCCAGTGCCACCGATGCCGCAGTGCATCGAGAGAACTTCAGTCTGTCTTCACATGCAGCAACCTCGCTGGAGCTCTGCGCATGCAGAGTATGAGGCGGCTCGAGCCCTCTCCACTGCAGCCTTTCTCCTTTGAACTAAAGTTATGGCGGCGTCAGGCGTGCGCCGAACGTTTTTTGAGATCGGTCTGTTCTCGGACACTAAACTAAAACCTAAACCTGGACGCAAATGACCGAAGCTTAGTTAGCATGACCTTTTTTTATGTTTTCTATTCTTAAGACCACTACGCACTGTTGGGTTTGAGAGCGTTTAAGTGCGTTTGACTGAGTTGAGTCGACAAACGAAAGCGAGTCACCGGCACATTCATGCTTCGCATAAAGCCTGAATCCGATTCAAGGAATAGCTTGGCACGCGACATAAGAAGCATAAATGTTCTGGTTTCTCGCAGCCGCAATGCAGTCAAATGCATTCAAGCGCTCCCAAACGCAACTGTGCGTAGGGGCCTTTACGTTACGCATAAGACACCGAAACACTAGTGTCTCCATCGACACGTGCCAGGCTATATCATCGAACATGCAGCCCCAATTAATATGAAGCTCAGATGTCTCGGTCATTTGTGGCGTAAGAACACGTAAGCTTTCGTAACGTATAGCGTAATAAAACGGGGCAGTGTACACCACGCTTTAACAGTTCATGCTCAACATCGGAGTAAAACGTAATATCGGGATTATGCGGGTTCATTCGGCTCCAGCCCGTTGATCGGTTCTCCTCCTATAGGCAACAGGCGGGTAGAGTCCCCGAGTGTCCTTTGCGCAGTGATACGGACTCAACTTAGCTGTGCAAAGACAGCCGCAATTCGAAGCACGGAGGCAGTGCAATGACATTCTGTTCGACACACAGCACAATCCATAGTCACGGACAACTGGAACATCCGCAGGGCGTGTCGAATCCGGAGCATCTTATTATCCCCTCGCAGCCAACGAGAGTATACCGTGAGCCAATAAGGACGCCGATGAACGACTCACAAAATAGGAAGTGTGAAGAGTGAGCCGGCCACAGCGTTTCTTAAACTTCGGTGCCTATTCTCGTACAGGGGCGCTCCACAATCGCATTCGCTGAACCGCCATCTTGAACTCGAACACCCAAGTATCTTGACCAAACTTAGACGCAACGCCTATGCAATATTTCTCGCCACAAAAACCTCTGATCTCCAGCCGCGCGCTAATTGAAAGCGGACTGTGGGGCCCCCTGTTCGCTGCAATGACGCACTTCTTAAAGCGCCACTCAAGACGAAAATGGAGATTGTTGTTTTGTTTCCAAATCGTTTTTTTTTTTTTTTTCCTTTTTAACTACGGAAGAGTATTTCTCAGAAGATAATCCCCATACCTGGAGAATATTTTCATATTACTGTTTTGTTGTCGTCATTCTTTGTGAATAAGCGCTACTTTCGTCACTGACAGTTCACGAAACGCAGGAGGTGTCAAGTCGCGGGAATCCCATTATCGGTCCGGAGCCAACGGGGTTTCGGCACAAGCCGATAAGAACGGCCAAGAACAGCTCTTAAAGCGGGAAGCGGGAGCGTACCAAATGTCGCCCCGCATGTCTTAACTTGTCAGTGGCCACAGAAGGATTCCAATATTATCTTCCTGCGCTCTGCCATCTTCGTTTACTGGGCTGTGGAACAGGTTTTGAGCATGAGCACAAACACCCTTCTGCAAACTTTCAGACGCCGCGCATTGTAAAGATATGTTCACTGCGCGCAATCAAGCGCAGTGAACGCCCTATGGTCCTGCGCTTCTTATCGTGCGTGATTGGTTTAGTCGGTGAGAGCGAACGCACAAACACGACGAGCGCCATGACGGTGCACGTTTTGAGCTACTTGATTGGCGTCATCGGATTGCAACGTCTGCTAAGGTGGAATTTGAAGGAACACCGCTTCCTTCCCTCCTTCCGCTCGAAACAAAAATCTTTTTTTAGACGCTTTATTATAAGGTTGGAAGACTACCCAATAAAATATTTTCCTACAGCGTTACGTATTAATATACGTGACGCTCGTGTTGCAGAAAATCGGTGGCGTTGCAGAAACGCCGGCGTCGGTGGCGTGCCGCGAAAATCCTGGTTAGTCGATAAGGTCAAAAAGTCACAGCCCCATGACCTCGCGCGGGAATTTCAAACAACCCACAAGGCTGACGGGAAACGTGACGTCACGCGTGGAAGGAAATTGATTAAAAAACATGACATGTAATCCGAATTGAAGGTCGCCGCATGTCTGAAATGATTTCACTTAATAAAGGAATTATTTTGCCTTAAAGAAATATTCAAAGAATTTTAGGCGGGATTCGACCCCTCGGTTGCGAGCCAGACACGCTACTGATTAAGCCACGCAATGCACGCTCCCCACGACTTAGAACGTGGCGGGAGTTTATATACTCCCGCCACGCCTTCCTTTCTTTCTTTTTAATAAAGTAAAAAAAAACAACGCAACTGCTCGAAACCGAAACGGGACTGCATTTCCACCACCCAACCTCGTTTTTTTTTGTTTTTTTTTTTTTTCTTTTTTTTGTGTGTTGTGCGAAGCAGTCGAAAAACGTGCACGTCGCACTTTACACAAAAAAAAAAATCAAAAGTCACGCAATGGGTGCTTGACGTTTGCGTGTTTTTCAAGCTCTTACTAATTCGTGTTCGTAAGGCGAGGAATGTTTTCAGCGTTCAACCAGGAGAAGGGGTCACGATTCGGCGACGTCTTTGTGCGTATCAGCTTAGCGGTCGGTCGGGTGTAAAACCGATCAAAACAGTTAGGGTTTAACTGTTTCGATCGCTTTTATCGATCAAAACAGCTAAATCCTAACTGTTCTGATCGGTAAAATATTTATATTTTCAAACTAGAAGATTCGCCGGTACCGCGAACGACATTTCTGAACTTCTGATGTAGAAGTCCCGCGCCCATGGTCCAACTCCTTCGCTAAGTTAGCTTCGTTCAGTCGTTCAGCCCGCGAGCCCCGCGATACAACGCCATGCTGAGAATTACGCAGAGAATGCACCAGAGTGCTTCCGATTCTCTGCGAAACTTTTTTTTTTTTTGCTTTCCAACCAAAGTAATTGCAGCTTTTTAGAAGCTACAAAACGATGTGTGTCATATTTATTTATTTATTTATTTTTAATATTAACTGTGTGCTTTTGATGACCCACAATCTTTGAAAAAAGGGTATATTCTTACACCCCTTGCCCCATACACGACACCCCAAAACTTCAGTTCGACGTACAACGCGCTGACGTCGAACAGACGGCATGAACTTTTATGAGGGTCTTGAGAACGGTGAGACATGCCTCATTAAACACCTAAACTACATATGAAAAACTACAGAAAAACAACACTGAGGTTTTGCAGTAAACCAGGAAAACCCCGATTACTTTCTTGGTAGTCAATAACACGTACATTAGCTGTTTTAATAGGTTGTACCACTCGGCTATCAGCCGCCTGTGAAAGTTGGGAACGTCGGTTCGATGTCAGCGCGGCTGCACGTCGAACTGAAGTTTTGGAATGTCGTATATGGGACAAGGGGTGTAAGAATATAGCCTGTTTGTTTCTGAGAGCACGACTTTGATTATATTTGGTGCATATGTCTAAACCATAGAGAACGGCACGTGACCGCGGAGAAGAGAGTGAGCGCGATTCAAACCGGCTAGTTCTCAATCGGTGGTTTTCAGGCGGAACGAAAGCTAATTTTGAGCCGCCAATTGTGTTCTGGGTAATTGGGCTCTTATGTGTCACGTACAAGTAAAAACCGTCGCGTGCATAAATACCCGTCAGTGTTCCTTTAATGTGAAGTGAAACGGAGTATAGCAAACTTCCGCTTCGTTGTAAGTATCTTTCTTTTTTTTTTTCCTTCTTTTTTACGCAGAGCCCACAGGCACTACGAGTGTCAGCTACAAGATCTACGACACGGAGAAGTCCTGCGACAACGCCCGAGCCCTGTACCACCGGGTCTGTCCGAAGGGCTGCAACATGATCTACACCAAAAAGTGAAGCGCCATCCAACGCGAAAGCCAACGTTTGGCAGCTCGCATCGCACGAAATGTATCCCGTAAATAAAGGTTCTCTGCAAATATAAGTGCGCATATTCAACCTCCACCGAGCCCCAACACACTATAAGTAATAAAAATATCGACTTCCTGGAGGCTCCGATTTACAAAGAACCGTGGACTTGTCTCGTTATCTCTGTCTTGCATCTTTTATTTCTCCTTTTTTTTTTTTTTTCCTAATCGCAAGTTATCCTTCCATAATCTTCACAGCTTGGCTACGCTGCCGTGACAAGTTTCAAGTTTCATTCGCTGGAATGTTCTATACTTCGTTTCACTTTAACTCGGATCGCAGCCGACGATTTGATGATGTTAGTTACGTGGCACCAAAAGTGCTTAATCATGACGCTCGTTTTATTTCTGGCTTGGCGGTCACGGGCAAAGCCAATCACGAAGAAAAAAAGGCGCAGGAGAACAGCGCATCCGCTGTGCGTGATTCATGTGGACGGTGGTAATGGACGCCCAAAACTGAACAAGCGCCGTGACGATGGCCTTTTGCCGCCGCTTGGCTGCATCAAACTGTTTATAGTCGGCTGCGGTGCGACTTAAAAGTGAGACGGAATGCGCGTCGTCAGAACCGCCAGCACAGCTGCGAATAGGACTTTCTCGAGACAGTCAAAGATTGTTTTTGCTCCATTTTTTAGGCCGCTAACTTGATCACTCATATACGTATCGTGGCGCGATCGCCGATTCAGCACAAAATGGCTATAACCCCGTCCCCCCTCCCTTCCTACGCCCGGGTATGGGAACCACTTTACTTGAGCGTTGAGTGTAATGTCTGTATTCGTTGATATTCAAAATGGTTCGCGTCAACTTTAAAAACCAAACAAAAGAAGAGAATACGAAAACAGGTAATTAGGCGCTGCGTGTTCCTCACGCCCCTCTAATTGATTGCTGCTTCGATGAAAAGATCGGGAAAGTCAACTAAGCGTCGCTCGTCTCTTTATCGTGCCTCTACCGTCATAGCGGAGGCTACTGCCGCATCACGGATTATACGCTGAAGATGTCATTGAGGCTCGACGATTCCCCTCTCAGTCGCTGCTTTTTTTATTGCTTGGCAATTGAGCGCTGCGGTCGTTACCGACACTGATGATCCAACTTACAATTACCGAGAAGGATGCGCAATTTGACGGCACCATGTGGACGTGCGCGAGACGGGCTCACCTTACGCTCGAATGTGTCGAGCTCGAATGCGCGTGGAAATAGTACTGAAGGTGAACGCTAGGCTATTTTAGTGACGTCGAATCATTTGGCTAGACCTTTTTCATAATCTGTCGTCTAACTTACCCTGTAAACAGCTGACAGTTTTGCCCGACCAAAAAAAAAAAAAAAAAGAAACGGAACTTCAATTTATAAAATATAAGGGTAAAGTAGCAAAAATCAAGGTGGTCCTATCTGCAATGCTTTTTAGGGTGAGATATTTAGCATTTTCTTTCGTTTTTCTTTTTTTACGTCTTATTAACACAGACAATATATTGGTTTTCATCGTAAATGCGGACAACGTTAAAACTACAGGGAAGATAATATAACCGTAAACTATTATTGGAGTCTACAAGCTTTTATGCACAGTAGATGCATACTAGAACCGCCGGTCTCAGACTCGTATAGCGTTGGATTCGCTGCATGCTAATACGGTGAATCGTGTGTATTGCCATTTTAAACGCTTGCCGTTGTAAGAATATCTTGGTTGCTTGCGATAGTCATTGAGCTGATGTGTATTTGTACACACGCATAATCCAATACCAGTTCACTAACTTTTTTTAAAAGTGCGTGTTAGAATTTAAAGGGCAATGCAAAACATTTTTTAATTTCAATAAATACAACTTAAAATTATCCCTCGACATTTATGACCTATGAAACACCAGATTGCTTTTTATTTCTACGCAATGAAGTCGCAAAAAAAAAAGAGAAGAATGAACGCAGTTAACCCCCTCAACTCGCAGTTATAAAAAGCGGCCACGTGATCTGACGCCGATTATATGCCGCCAATGTTTTGAACATAGCCACAGGTCGGGGTCGGCAGAGCAGAGGGGGCGCGTTGAGTTCCGCGTATTATTAAGTTTAGCATATTCCCGTCATCCCAGCGACTGGGCACGAGCCACTACTCGAATGCATGTAGGGGCATTGATTGTCACGAGCCAAAATTGAATGCCTACGCAGTATTCGTGTTCACTGTTTGAGCAGCACTTATATATCGTCACAACGGGGATCGCATAACGTGGTGACTCACTCCTAGGGTATCGCATTGTTGCCGTTGTCCCCACAGCTCCGTCATCAAGTTTGCCGAAGGAGAGACTGAAAAAAAATGTTCGCTTTTATTCTTGGAATTTCACCGCGACAAAGACGCTTTGTGGTCAGTGGCGTTGCGTTCGAGTAGTATTGGGTCCCACTAGTGTGAGTTAAAGTCACTGGATCTTGGGAAAGTAGCGCCAAGCTCCCCGTTTGGTCGCCATCTTGGTCCGTGAAGGGAGCAATTTCTCCGTAACCCCTCCGTTCTTGGTGAGTCGATCCAAATTCGCTGGTGACGGGTAGCTTTATGGAGATGTTTCTTGTATAGACGCTTTACACACGCGCCAAATTACAGCCGCCATTGCCGACCTTCTCCTGTCTTACCGAGATACCAAGCCACTGAAGAGGGCTTTGGCGAGCCTCCACAAAGGCATACGCTGGGGAGAAGGACACAGTCGAATCTGAAATGACAATAACCTGCCCTGCTGTGGTAGGAATGGAGTCAAGTGATAAAAATAAGAGGAAACAAAAACTGAAGGTCTGTTATGGCGGCGCCCATGCACAGCTGCTGTAAAGCATCTATACCGAGATTTCGCTATCCACATACTGGCGAAACAAGCGTACATCTTCATACCACCACCACATAATGTGTCGGTGCCTGAAGACACTGAAAAATAAGTTAGCTGTCTTAAAATACGCAACAAGAAGAATATAACTGAAAGATCCGTGGAGATTGTCATGCTTGATAAGTTAAGGTAAGATAAGTACACAATGATGCCCCATGGTGATCTTGGCGGGATTAGTTTAAAACAATCCTCTGGAAGCTTCAAACATTTGAAGGGACCGAGATGGCGATTTCCATGGCAACGTACAGAGATTAGCCAATCGCCTTGCAAGTTTTTGGTCGCATGAACGTCAGTATCTGTTTGTGTTCGGCAAGCTGGTAGGGAAGGCAATGGCGCTACTTTCCCAAAGATCCGGTGACTTCAGTGCAAGTAAGCTGGTGTAAAGTGATAGACGATCTTACCCAATATCGTTGCACAGCCCCTTTAAAAATAGACCGATTTCACCCGCCAGCTTGGGTACGCCACCGCTGCCGCAATGCATCGGGGGAACTTTAGTCTTTCTGCACGTGCCTTATCCTCGCTGCAGCTCTGGGCGTGCAGAGCATGAACAGTCTCACGCGCTGCCGATTGGCTCTTGTGGACTAAAGTTATGGCGGCTTCACGCATGCGCTGAACGCTTGGTGAGATCGTTTTTTTATGGAAACTAAACATTTCGTTAAAGTAATACAAGTACAATGAATGATAATAAATGTATTAAACAGAGAATTGAAATCCAAGATTTCGTCTTTATTTAAGTTTCTAATAAAGCTCTCAACTTAGATATTATATTAGTGAAACTAAAGAAAGTGAGCAGGCTAGCTGGAAAAACGGGACGGACAACAGAGAGCTCCAAACACAGCTGAAGTTTCATCAGGTCGAATGTTTGGTCTAAATCTCGATTGTTGTGGCAGGGCCCGCTTTGTCATTATTTTCCATTCTTGACAAGGAAAATAAATGTCTAGACACATCTGTCTGCAATTTAAGTGATTCGTGTGAAAGCGCATGTACATAAATAAAAGACTGGCGTATAAGACATGTACAGTCATAGTTCGCTACAGTATTACGATTATTAAAAGTTCGCGAGGTGATCTTTGTGCCGCTGTACCCAAGTCCAGCCGAAAGTCGCGATTCCCCTTCTATTTCTGCTGAAAACCGACGAACCGAGGATTGAGCAGTAAAAAAACAGGCGAGCTGGTTGATGTTACACATATTTTTAAAAAACCGGAGACGATGGAAGAAGAAGGGGAAAAATAGAAAATGTCTTAAACGCAGCTGCTAAACTTTTTTATTGACATAACCGTTCATATACCATCTCTCGCACACGCGTGTCCTCGAAGATGCACATGTCTTTGTGACCCTCCACCCGGGTACAACGCGTCGTGACTTCAAATCAAAGAACAACCTCATGTCCCACGCAACACATCACACATGCCTCCCTGAATTTGCATACGTCTTTGTGCCTTCAAGCGTAGATAACGGCCTCAAAATTTAATACCTGCCAAGTTGTCATTTATCTATGGGGCTGCTTCGCGTTTGCCCTTGTTTCCTGCCAGATCTCCCTGGCAGATGTTTATCATGTAAGCACTTCGCCCGCTTTTGGCTTCCATTACGCGGAGATTTTATTCAGCTGTCCTTCCCCATAGTCACTGATAGCTTATAGACCAAAAAGTGTGATGCGCTCGGGGACATCGAGCATGACGTTACACTCGCACATTTTCTTTGCGCACATCACGTTTGTGAGATTGAATCGTATTTCGTTCTTCGTCATTCGCTGACCATCTTTGTGTTCGGCATAAAAGCTAACTCGCTTATATTTTTTTTTTTTTTTTTAGAATTTAAGTATGTACAGCGTCATTCGCAGTTCTTGAGTTAAAAGAAAGAAAGAAACGTCAAAATAATGCACTGAGCTCTTTCTATTTTGCCCACTCCTGAAGTACGCAATTTTTACCATCGAAACGTTTAGAATGTCTCTTGGAAGCTGCCTCGAAAGTCTGTTTTTGACCTGTGTCTTGGGTGGTGAAGGATAGACTGGTGAAGAACAAGACGTGAGTTCAAAAGGACCTAGCATATATTTTATGCACGAACCTAATTGGCCAAGGGCGTGTAATAGCCTAATAGTTGCGTTGTGTCTTTGTTTGGGCGTCTCGTGTCTCAGCTGTAGAAGAAAAATTTAGCCTCTGCCATGCAGCCGCAGCAGG